AAAAAAAAACAAGTGGAAGCAATTACATGAGGATGTGTCTTATACAACAGTAGAGTGCCGGAACTAGAAGGAACCTTAAAGACCATTTGTTCAGCATTTTCCTTCATTCACTCTAGCATTTAGTGTACCATAGATATGATACATAAAAGAGTGGAAAACTTGAGACTGGGCGAAACAGCCTTGTTTATTGCTGGACTACTCAGCATGTATGAGTGTGTCATGAATCATCAAGTTAGGGATATAGTGATATGAAGGGTTTCTCAAATTTATTTGACCAGAAACAAGATATTTTGTTTTTCCCCCCAAAATATCTCAGTAGTAGTTTCCAAACCTCTGTCTTATGGAATACAATTGGAAAAATACTAATTTGATTCAGTCCCAAAATGTTAAGATATGGACTGTATTATGTAAAGATTATGAAACAAGGGGGTGGCAAATCAAATGTCTTTCCCTCTATTCCCCAGGTTTCATGTTCTTTTTAGTCTCTTCATTGACATAGCCCTGTGTCTCCTCACACACAGCATCACGTAGTAAATGTGGACAGGGTAATGACAAGATTGCCTTTCCATTGTGGGCACACTTGCCAGAGTACAAACTCATGTCACCACAATTGGCTGAGCAAGATTTTCTGTCTTTTTCTTCTTTTAGACTGACTGGCCTGAAGGCTACCAACTTTCAAATGCTATGAACTTCCGCTGGCCCCAGTGCGTACCCAGTAACTTAAAGACCTTGATTCCCAATGCTAGCAGTGAAGCAATTCAGCTCCTGAGAGACATGCTTCAGTGGGATCCCAAGAAACGACCAACAGCTAGTCAGGTTTTCCTCCATTTCCTTCTTTTTGCTTGTATTTCTTATGAACTTCATGTCTAACTCTGAATAATTTCTGTAAATCACATAATAGTTTCTATAAATCGGGAAATGTTTTATTTAACATTATGGGTGAAAAATGGTACTGAATACCACTAGTGGTATTCTGCATAAGGTATAAGAACTTAAAGTAGTTTGAAACTTACTGTGTATAATTAAAGTCATTAAGGTTTAAACAATATAGTTGCTTTGAAAATGGGCATACGATTCACATGATACATCACCATCTATGTGGTAATGAAAATAAACAGATATATCTGTCTTTGGAGAAGGTTTTCAGATATATTCTCTATGAGTTAAGATTATGTAGGAGTTTATTTGTAAGCCAGTACTCATTGTTGAAAGGCAACTTTATACGTTGTAAAGTCCACCTTGCTCATTCTACAGAGATTGACAGATGAGATAGAGCTAGGATAATAATGACAATTAGCATGCGATAGCAGCACTTTATAGTTTGTAAATGCTTTAGTATATTTTATGTAATTTTAACCTGATAAACACTCCAAGAGTTAGGTGTTATTTTTTTCACTTTTTTAAAGTGAGAAAACTGAATCTCAGAAAGTAAGCGATTTTCCCTAATCTCTTGTCTAGCAACTTGTACAGGTAGTGCAACCAGCTGCAAATTCAATCAGTCACACAGATGAAAGGTCTTCTGACTTCATACCTCCTTTTTTCTCATCCCACCTTCCCCCAGGCCACTTTGACTTAGACTATGAAATGCACCCAAAAGAGGCATGGTAATGCTGTGGGCAAATAAGCAACCACTTCTAATGAGAGAAGATGATTTGGCCAAGCACAAGTGATGGGGATATTTGAAGAAAGTGCCAGTGTGATGTTAGAATTTGTCATAGCTGGAGAGATGATAGTTGGAGGAATAATTAAGGAGTGTAGAAAAGCAGTTTTTCAAAAGCTCCAAGAAGAAAGAGCCAGAATTTGCTGCCATAAGACTCTGGATGGCTCAAGAGGGTAGGAAAGCTCTCAGAAATGCACTTGCTGGTGGGAAATTTCCAAAATGGTTTCAGGGCAGAATGGAAGCTTTCTGATGATTCTTTTTAAAAGGGTGCACATAAGAGATGAAAAGAAACATTTATGTAGCAAGCAACCAAGAGAGGAATGTATACTTTTAAGAATAGTGTCAGAAAAACTAAAAATACTCCCAAATCATTTGAGACTTGCTGAAATGCCTGGGACTATAGAGAAGGCTTTTTAAGTTAGATGCCAGAGTCTGGAACCTCTACCAGAGTATCTGCATTCTTTGCCTCTGTACTTATACTTATATATAATCATTGCAGATGTTTATAACTCTGTCCCAGACTCATTAAGAAAGATTATGTTATGTTCAATGCCTTCCATTCAAAAAAGACAAGGGAATATAGGGAATATTTCAGAAAGAATTGTAAACCCCAGTACCTTAAGATTTTTCCCTTGGCTATACAGAAAACTCGATTATCCAAAACAGCTGACAAGATTCAGTTGTGGGGAAGGTGTAACTATATTATGTATTGCACTCTTGGCACTCCTGGGGTAAAAGCATATGTGCCTGCTTATTTTGTACTTGGCAGTGATCCTCCAGGATCACTATGTTTGCCGCTCCCAATTTTATGATTTTTTTCTCTTTCTATGGAATGAGGAAATGAGCTTAGAAGGGTGAAATATCTGGTACATCATAGCTCATTGACCCTCTGCAAGTTACCTGGCTTCTCTGCTGCTTATTGTCTCATCTGTGAAATAAATTATAGCAAATAAGTTACAAAGGCAGGATCTGTGTTGAGCCAGAATGCTTTTCAGCTACTTTATCCAAATAATTTTAAGTATTACAACCAGTACCTGTACTTTATGGTATTGTAGGTAAGGAAAATCACAAGGGATATTACAGATTCAGGATGCTGTCTTACAGTTGTTTGGGCTAAGAAATGGTTGTAAACTGGTCACATGAAGCAGAGCCCAGTGATCATGATGGTGTGTTAACTTTCCTGGTTAGAGTTTTCTCCTAAAGCCTCATTTGTCATTCTAGGCACTTCGATATCCTTACTTCCAGATTGGACATCCACTGGGCATCACTGCACAAAGCCTTCAGGATTCAGGAAAATCACAGAAAGACATCCTGGAGAAGGCAGGCCCATCTCCTCATATTAAGCCAGTCCCTCCTGCCCAGCCCCCAACCAAGCCACACACACGGATTTCTTCACGGCAACAGCAAGCCAGCCAGCCACCTCAGCATCTCATGTACCCCTACAAAGCAGAGGTCTCCAGGACAGATCACCCCAGCCATCCGCAGGAGGACAAGCCCAGCCCGTTGCTTTTCCCATCCCTCTACAACAAGAATCCTCAGTCGGTAAGCAGCAAGGATTTGCCAGCAAGCTTTGTGTCTGTCTTACTCCTCTTCTGACCCTACTTATTGTGTGGGATATTTTCTTTTTCAGTATATAAGGTCGAATGATAATGTGTTTATCTTTGCAATAGCATGGAGTTGTGAAAAGACCCTTGACTTTGGAGTTCAACATCAAAATTCAAGTTCTGGCTCTGCCTCTTAGGAACAGTGTCCCTCGTCAGGGGTGGGGGCAGCTGTGGGGAGTGGTCGAGAGCTGGACTCTGCCACCAGGCTGCCAGCGTCTCATATCTCAGCTCTGATACATCATAGCTCGTTGACCCTCTCCAAGTTACCTGGCTTCTCTGCTGCTCATTTCCTCGTCTATGAAATAGGGGTAATAATAGCATCTACCTGATACAGTTGTTTTGAGGATTAAATGAGTTAGTACTTGAAAAGAATTTAGAATAGTGCCTGGCACCTGGTTAAAGATCAGTAAATGTTAGTCATTGTTATTATTAATCCCTATGGACTCAGTTTCCTCATCTGTTAAAGGAAGGTCATAGTGTATGTCTTGTCCACCAGACAGGGGTGTTCAAGAGGATCAAAGGTCACGATGCTTGTGAAGATGTTTTGAAAATGATAAAGTCCCGTCCTAATATTTGTAGATTTTTATTCATGTTAATGCTGCTAATTGATGCTGTTAATGCTGGGCTATTAGTTGAACCCAGATCTTTCTTCTCTTGGGCTAGTTTTCAAAAGGAATGAATGATTTTTGGTTCAGTAAAATAACCTGACAAGGGATTTTAGTCATAATTAGCTTTGTAATGCCATCTGAAGAGTCCAACTTTCTAACACCTTTATGCACAAGTACTACTTTTTCTATGAACTAGTATTCACTGAGTGCTGGCTCCCAATGTGCATGCTGTGAGATGCTGCCAGAGGTGGCAAGGGTGTTATCTGTGAACTCTTTACTTTACCCCAGCCCATGATTTGGAAGTGGTATGCATTTGGAAATTTCCTATTGTAGCTAATTCTGTAAAGAATTCTGTAATTCTTTAAGAGATAGTATCCAGGTCGACTGAGAAGGCAAAGAAGGCATTGTTTGCATTGTTTTCTGTAAAAGAGCAGGATGGCTGACATCTTAGCCATAATCTCTTACATCTTTATTTATTACAGTATAAATCATATTAGTTCTTTCAGTATGAGGCCCAAATGAGAATCCAGCCATCTTCCTAGAATGTGAAAAGTATCTTACATTTCTTTTGTAAAATCCTTTTTTATACATCCTCAGTGGATGACTACCAATGTAGTCTGTGCAGGATAGGTGAGAGACGGAGGCCTGGGGATGTGTTTTCCACAACTGCCCTTTCAGATAGGCGGTACATATCAGGGAAGGTTGTGCCTCAGGATCCTCCTTTAATAACAGAGACTTCAGAATGAGAATGTACTTCATACTTCAGAATGTACTCATGGATGAGCTCCATTAATACCAAGTATTGCTTTTTCTTCCCCTCTACTTGTACACCCAGAAAATATTAGCTGGCCTGGAGCACAAAAATGGTGAGATCAAGCCAAAGAGTAGGAGAAGGTGGGGTCTTATTTCCAGGTCAACAAAGGATTCCGATGATTGGGCTGACTTGGATGACTTGGATTTCAGTCCATCCCTCACCAGGATTGACCTGAAAAACAAGAAGAGACAGAGCGATGACACTCTCTGCAGGCAAGTGTGCTGCTTATATCCGTGAACAGACTGAGTCTGGGGTTTGTGAGATCATCTGTACCTATCTGATGATTCTCTCTCTCTCTCTCTTTCTCTCATGCTCACTTTCACCATGTTCTCTTGAATCAGATTTGAGAGTGTTTTGGACCTGAAGCCCTCTGAGCCCATGGGTACAGGAAATAGTGCTCCCACCCAGACTTCATATCAGAGGCGCGACACGCCCACTCTGAGAACCGCGGCCAAGCAGCACTACTTGAAACACTCTCGATACTTGCCAGGTAATATAAGTGACTTGCCTTTACTGATCATTAGTAAGAAGTCTGTCCTTGGAGTCACATATTCACAAAGCTTCTGTTTTGGAAGGCAAATAAATACTTGTGGGCTCCCCTTTGGAACGGGTGAGAACAGTGTAAAAATATTTGCTCAAGCCCAAGCCTCACATTTTTATCTTATATAGTCGCCTAAGATAACAAATTTGATATAAGAAACTGGGTCCAACCCCTGGGAAGAAGGAACTGGCAGGAGCTAGGTAGTATGTCAGAGGCTCCTTTCCAGACCAGGTTTAGGAGAAATTGCCAGTCAGGAAACCAGGGTAGGAGCTTAGTCCCACCATCCAGGCAGTACTGCAGGGGTTAAGTGTCAACACTGTAGTTTGGTGGGCGCCCAAGCCTCTCTCCAGATTCTCCAGATTCCAGATTTGCAGCATTAGCCAATCTTTCATTCACAAATTCATTCAAGCAGTAAATACATGTGTGTTGAGCATCTACTGCATGCTAAGCACTGGGAATATTACAGTGAACAAAACAGCCAAGCAGGGCCTCTGGTTTGCACAACTCCAGGAAGCTCCTTCACATCATCGTCTACACAGTGGATTTATAAAACAGCCCTGCAGACAATGTCCTTGCTCTCGTGCGGGTTATACCCTAGCCATGGGAGAGACACTTCAACACATAGACAAGCAGTAATCACAGATGGTGACAGAATGGTCAGGGATTGCCCCTCTGAGCAAGCGACTCTCAGTCAGGCCCCAAAGAAGGAGAAGGAACCAAATGTGCAGAGAGCATGCGGGTTATACCCTAGCCATGGGAGAGACACTTCAACACATAGACAAGCAGTAATCACAGATGGTGACAGAATGGTCAGGGATTGCCCTTCTGAGCAAGCGACTCTCAGTCAGGCCCCAAAGAAGGAGAAGGAACCAAATGTGCAGAGAGCTGGGGGAAGGGCACACCAGGCAGAGGAAATGACAGATGCAAAGTTCTGGAGGTCAGAAAGGGCTGGGCCTGTGAGAGGAAGGGCAGAAAGGCCAATGTGGCCAGGAAGAGAGGAGGTGATGTAGTGTGTAGTAAGAGACATCATGGGGATGTTGTAAGAAACTGGATTTGATTTCATGAGCAGTGGGAAGCTCAGGAAGAGTTTTCACTGGAGGAGTGACATGGTATTATCTACATTTGTGCACCCAGTGAGTAAGGGGCCAGCAAGTTGTAGCTGCATCCAGGGGAGGAGAGTGCAGTTACAGGCTGGGGTGCAGTCAGAGGGGAAGGGATAGGGGAATGGCAGGCTCTCCTGATGCATTAAATGCCTCGCCATCTGGTTGGGAAGAGGGCTTCTTAATACTGCCAGACTTCATCAGGATTGACATGGTGG